GGTTTATGACAAGTAAGAGGAAGTACTTCTTCATGCAATGCTTAGTTGAACTTCGGAGCTCCCTGCCACAGGAAGTAATCATGGCCACCAATCTGGGTGGCTTTAAAAAGGGATTGGACAGATTCATAAACAAGGAGGCTATCAGTGGGCTATGTGCTTCTTCCTTTAGCAGGGGTGACCTGCCTGCATATACCAGTTGCTGAGGAACTGGGCAGGAAGAGGCCTTGCACCCATCCCGATTGAAGGATCCTGTGGGCAGCTGGTTTGCCTCCATGTGTACAGAGTGCTGGACTGGATGGGCACTTACTCTGATCCAGCATGGTTTTTCTTAGGTTCTGCTCACATGGCAAAACCTACAGATTTCATAATAAATGGTATTTAAAAAAAATCAAATGTGAGAAGCAAAACATTTGTCCAGATTCCAGGGAGAAGACTTTGACCAGGGTTGCATAAGCTTGGGTGATTAACCAAGTCATGGTGGTTTATGAGCATCCCCATTCCATGCATGCTGATTTGCATAATTGCCCATTGGGTACAACTTATCTGCAAATTCAGTGAGGGTGGCTGGCTGGCGTGGTTAGCAAAACATTCAGAGCCCATGCTCTGTTGTGCCTCTGAGTCTTGCTCTTACTTGTCTGGTCTTAAATCCCTGCATCCAGCATAATTTGTGATGCTGATTTGCAATTGTCACCATTTCTTTTCCTGACATCTTCTTTTCCCGACAGGTAGAAACACTGTCTTCTCTTTGCAATGGCAATAACTGCCAAGCACCAATGCATGGGAAGTTTGTTTACTCCCCTTTGGATAAGAACTTACAAAATTCACAAATTTCTTCCTAAACAAGTAAAAAGAACTTAAAAATAAAGCAGAAATTGGAGTGCAACTAAAACTGAGATTCACCCATCTGGGATAAGCATAGTTACTCGGTTTAGTTACAGGTTATCTGACCTTGGACTACATGACTCAAGTATTTCCACTGTGTTTCACACCCCTGTGCTCAAGCGATGGGACCTCCCCCCCCTTTTTTTTTTGGCCAGGCTCATCTCAGATGGTTCTTTAACCCTCCAAAGCAATTGGCTAGAGGAAGAGAGACCACAGCAGAAGAGGTCACTCCAGAAGAGGCCACTCTGTTCCACCAATAACATAAAATAATTAAGAGCAAACCAATTTGGTAAAAACATATTTTTATAGATGTGGGAGGAACCAATACTCTAAACAAAATATCAGTCCCTAGTTGAACAATGTGGAATGTGAATTCTATTAGCATTCATTTACATGTTTACACATCTTTGAATCATGTCGCTAAAATATTCCTGTTTTGAAGGCAGGCACTGAAATTTGATATAGGCAATCATCTCTAAGGATACTCCCCCTATACATGTTCAGACAAAAGAAAGAGTCCTACATCTTCCACTATTCTCCATGCACCATTTGGAATGCTTGCAGCTGTGGAACCTTTTCCCTGTCTAAATGGGCATTGAATTGTGCCTTAAACCACTCTGTGACCAACGTCTGCCAACTTCATAAGCAGCACCTTTGTTGTTTTAATGGGTTCCAATCTATCACAACAAAGTTGGACTAATCCCTTTGATATATAAAAGCTAGCTTTAAAGTGTTTTATAGTTATGGAGATGAGGACTGACCTTTAGGATATGAATTTCATTTCACTGTCAGCTCTAACATTTATTAATTCTTAACATGGAAGCATTTCAGAAATATGACCTGCAATTTCACTGTATATTTATTCATGTCAAGGTCTCTTCTTCACTACTGCTGGCTTCCTGTACAACAGCTACCAGAAAGCCAGTATTCATGATTTAAAAACCACCACCATCTTCCAGAAAGAACCAAAAGCTCCCCGTTTTCCACTGTGCCAAATAAATTAATACACTACTGACATGTTAATAGGCTATTTACATTAATTGTTTTGCCTGGTTCTTATTTACAAGCTCTGGTGGTATTTTAGAATAAAAGAGCCTAAAATTCCCAGCATTCTCCATCAGCATAGCTGGCTGGGCCATGCTGGGAGTTCTAGGTTTTCTTTGCTAAGCATGCATAGGACTAATGCCCCTTGTACCGTTTCCAAGACCGTGTACAGAAAAAAAAAGCAAGGCATGTTCACCACTACATATTCAAGCATTCCCTCAGAAACTCATAATTAAGAAAGAGGTGGTTTTGTTGCTGTTTTTAATGAAGGTTATAGTTGACCATGGCGGCTAGATGGAGTCACTGGGGCAGTGGGTGTGGGCTTGGGTGGACTCCGAGGAATGGTGGAGAACAGGACAGCCTGGAGAAATGTTGTCCATGGAGTCACGATGGCTCAGGCACGACTTTGTGACTAGCAACAACAATAGTTGACCATGTTATACCTGAAATCTTGAGTCTAAAGGAAGCAAAAACTAAGTGTAGCCAAACATATACCATGGATTTTAGGAAAGGCATTTTTAATAAATTCAGAACAATGGTAAGTAGGGTCTCATGGTGAGAAATTCGAATGAGAAAGGGGGTGTTTAAAAAAAGGAAAATCAATTAGAAACAATTCCAACAAGAAAAAGGATAGAAGACAACAGAAAAGGATTGCATGCTGAAATTGATAGGCAAATGGTCAAGAAGCACCTCATCACTTTGCATGAGTTCAAATCTCCTGGGCCTAATAAACTGCATCCTAAAGTAATAAAAGAACTGGCAGAAGCACTCTCAGAATCCAGAGAAATCATTGAGGATGGATGAAGTGCCAGATGACAGGAGAAGAGCTATTGTTGTCCTCCTCAAAAAGAGAGTAAGAAAGGGCCTTTGGAACTACAGGCCAGTTAGTACAACATCAAGCCCTAGGAAAATTCTGGAGCAGATCATAAAGCAGTCAATCTGCAAACACTTTGAAAACAATGCAGTGGTTACTAGAAACCAACATGGATTTGTCACGTACAAATCCTGATCTGATCTCATCTTTTAAAATCAATAACCCCACTGGACTGCTTTATATCAAGCAGAAATAAACCACGTGACCTAATAACACCACTTTCAGGAACAGAAACAAAACTTGCCAGGGAAGTCTTAAGAGCAAGGCAGCACTGAGTTACCTTTAAACAGAATGTTGCTGTCAGCTAACAACCCTGCCCTGCTCCCAACCCTATGCAGAGAAGCCTGACTGGCAACAGCACTAATTCCACTATGGTGGAAATCAAGTTTGGTTCTGGAACAGGAGCGCGACCGGTGCACTTATAAGATGCAAGGAGACCAATGATATTTACTGAATTTCCTTGTGGATGATGTGTTCCCTGCAGCAACAGCAGCTTAGTCTCGTAGTCTTTTCATTCCAGGCATGGCTTAGGCATGTCAGTGGGTAGCACAGTATCGAAAATATCTTACATACATAACACAATGAAGTGTAACATTACCCAGCTGTACTAGGTACATCATGATTCCTATAGATTGTTTTTTTCAGTACCATCCTATGAACATGAATATATTAAGCCCGTCCTTTCCTTTAAATCACTTAATGGGTTGGCACCTTGCCTACTACCAGTATTTATTTTCTTTCACAGATGTGTCTTGATTCTTATTTAGTCCATATGTTAGCCCTGTTTTTTAGTTCCTTAACATTGAATCCTATAAAATATGAATACTTATGTAGCCAAAGTGGCAACATCAGAAACACTAGTATTACCCAATTCCTCTTTTGAAAAACTCCAAAAAGGGGGAACCAAAAAGGCGAAAGAGGACTGAGGATTCTCCACAGGTGCACAATACTTTTCTTTTGGGGAGGGGGGAGATTAGGGGACTGGGCCGTGTAATGAAGTATGCAAGAAAAGGACATAGTAAGCCAGTTGCAACCCTAACAAGACGGTTAACAGCTTGACTGTTTGTTGCAGTTCTCACTCTTGTCCTTCTAACAAAATAGAGAACTTTTGCAACAGTCTTAAGAATGCAGCTTTTCTGCTTTTCCACAATCATTTATTTCTATTAGTGAATCATTTTTTTTAACCAATCACCACACACAAGTGAGGCATCCACATGCAAGAAGTGCATTTCACTGGAAGTCAGTGCAGTGTGGTGGCTGGTGTGCTGGACTGGAGACCTTGGAGATCTGGGTTCTAGCCCCCAAACCCCAGCCATGAGACTCACTTGGTGATTTTGAACCAGTAGGTCACTCTCAGCCTAGCCTACTCTTTTATGGATAAAAGGGAGAATAGAACAGAACTGTATAAGCCACCTGAGGTTCTTTGCAAGAGGAAAACCTGAGCACTATAAATGCAATGTACCAATTATGATGCTCGTGTCAGCATATGCCTTAGCTCAGTCACTACGCTTTCCAAGTTCAATCACTTAATGAATAAAAGACTTCCTCATTCAGCTTCCATTTTTCACTTACTATATATTACTCATGAATTTTATGTACCCATCTCAAAATAATACAGGTTATATTAGCCCTGCAAAACTTGTGTCCAACAAAATGAAATGCAGATCACTTACTAAGGAGAGAAAAAAGCACTGGAAAGCCATTCCATACTGCATAGGCATAGCAAGTGCATACATTTACTTCTGACAAAAAATAAATTATGCAAACCTAGCATGATTCAACTTTAATTTTAAATTGTTAAAAATAAAGTATGTCTAACACTGATATGGTACTTTATTTATGGAACTGGAGGAGATTAGCATAGCCTATTATACTAGTCTGTTCCTTTTGCTATATTACTGCAAATGCAGTATGTCAGTTTTAGTGGCCTTTTCACTTGAAGCTGCAGAAATCCAATGTTTTCTACAAATCTTGTCAGTAGAATCAGCTAAAATTATGAGAATGAAATATTGCAGAGCCAGTCTCCCAAATATTGCAATTCTTTATCAAGTCACAACACTATATAATTCCAAAACCTTTTCATCTTTTTCATGCTTGTAGTCTTTCAATTAAAACTACAACTGATAGAAAATAGCAACAAAGAACTTTATACCAGTTATTTTCACAAGTTCAATCCTGCTGAAAAGATTGGAGAGACAAGTAAAAAAACTACCTTTATTTTTTCTTCTTCATCCATTACATATTTTTAAACAGGGATGTGTTTTATTATTGAGACATTCAGGCAATGTTGATTTTTATTAGTTTAGACAGGGAAAAAGCATATAAATGCAAACATTGTTGGTTTAACCTGAACATAACTGCATAATTTACTATTGGCCAGTTGTGTGTTGCGAGGACAAGGTCTTCCTTAGCATTAAAATGGAGTACTTAAATATTGCTAAATAGCAATGTCAAGATTCTGGTCTTTGCAGTAAACAGGTTTTATATATTTTTTAATCTTCAAGTCCATAATGGGGTTAATATACACATTGTTATGTGTAAGGAGTTCAGATCATATAAACACTGTACAGGCCAAAGAAACCCTTGAGAATAAACCTGAACAGCTGCATAATAGGAAAGATACTGAATGTATTTACAAATATCATGAACAAAGAAATTTGGTCAAATACTGCAAAGGAAGTGTTCACATTAGGATGGCCATGTTAACCACCTATCCTCTCACCTCAAAAGATAAAATAAAAATAAAATAAAGATCAGTGTCCTTGAGACTTTTAAGACATTATTAATGATACAAACAGGAAGAGTAAAATTTTTGACTGTCATATAGTCTATGCTTTTTATAGGCCAAGTTCAAGCTTTTAGATCAAGCATTTACTAAATTCATTATCAGCAACAGTGACTAACAATGACCAGATCTGCACAATGTGTGCACCTATTTCAAGACAATGCACTGCACTTTTGGCTGGTAAGAAAAAAATAAATTACTAAATAATCCCTGTAAATGCAATAATGAATTCAAAAGGTGTGCATTTATCAATTTTAATACACATTTTGAATGTTACCACAAGATATTAAAATAAATAAGTATGCCAAAAGGCATGCACTGATAGACAAAAGTTATTAAAAATTAGCTCTAGGATGCTCTTTTTTAAAAGCATACATACACAATTTGAGTTTTGGTCAATACATCTGTTTAGCCATTTCTTTCCTTTACTGAAGCTGACAGCTAAACATGACAAAAGCACACCTCTGTCATTATGGCTTTAAATGAAGAAATCTGGGAAGCAAAGAGAAAAGTAAAGAGAAGAGAAAAGAAAAGAAAAAGGGCTGCCTTTTCTACTGAACAATTTGTTCATAATACAGGCACTTCAAGGAGCAATGGGGAAAGTACCTGTCGAATCCTATCAACTGTATTTTAGTTGTAGTGTTAACAATATTTTATCAAAGCATCAAACTTCCAGAAACCCCAGCAGCAATCAGGAACTACAGGCTAGCATTCATTAAAGGCAGCATTACATCCAACCATTTCCACATCTTTTCTTAAATCAAATAGCAAAATAATTTACAAAAAGTTCTATATTTGTTACATGGCACATCCAGATCTTCACTTTTAAAGTGGTCATTCAGCAATAGCTTTTGATGAACATTTTCAGATTCATTACCCAATTTACTAATCAGTGATCACCTTTATTTCCTTGTAGTGTGTTTTAATAACCCTGAAGCTTCCCTCTGTTGAAGTTTCAGCACTGGTGTTGTACATAACTGGAAGCACAACTTGCATTATACATACATTTTGTATTTCTGTACAAGCACTATTACCACTTCTACTACACCGCATCTCAAGTAGAGGCACAACAAAAGCAGATTGTGAAACCCAGATTTTACTGACAGTGATTCACTCTCTCTCCTATAAACCACAGCATTTAGGCTTTTGTCATCAGATGACTCCTCCTCTTGCTTCTGCCTTAGTACCACTGGGCAGTGACTGTACCATATTCTTTGATAGGATTTAATGGTAACAATTTGCAAAATGTAGTACCATCAAAGCAATGATGGGGGAAGGAAACAGCTTAGATATTACTGACAAAAGAAATCTTAAAGCAAGACATATTTTAAATGCTTGGGTCCTGTTGTTTTCATTTCCATTGTTCTCTCAAAAATCAACTGCTTTCAGTACAGCATCACAAAAACCTCAGCACATGCCAGGTTTATGAAATATCTGGTCTTTAGCTAATCATTGCTAATGTTTTCTAGAACAGTTTAGTCCTGCTGAGCAAAGAGCAGCATTTTTTCCCCATTGGTCCAGTATGTCAGTGGTCAGATAAGTACTCATGTTGACACAGCTTTAAAGCTTCCAGAAGTGATGATCCAAACTAAGGTATGTTGAACCACCAAAACAAAGCTACTAGGAGGACCTTCTCATTGAAAGTGGGTTGTCGGAAAATGTGTGGTCACTAGAGAGATGATTAATCACGATATAGCAGATGAACACGTAAGTAATTCCCCATGATCTGCCTTCTTCCAAAGTCATTTGTGACGCTGAATGGTTTTCCTTTTCCTCCGCTTGAAAAAACAGCAGCACCTGCAATTTTGACATAAAAACAGTCTTAGATAACTGAAGAATAAAGCAAGCATAAAATAAATCATTCTATGTGCTATAATTAAAGTCAGTTCAAAGAATGTTAAAAACAAACTTTTAAAAATGATAAGCAGATTCTGAATATTTCCTCATCTGATACTTCTATACAGATGGTATGATGATGATGTGATGAAAATGGTACAAGATTGAAAAACAATAGAGTTTCATTAACATAAGATATGTTTATGAAAGTGAGAGGGAGGAGAAAGTAGAGTGAGACATTTTTCTCCGTTTTCCCATAACACTTGAACCTGGGGTCATCCAATGAAGTTGACTGGGAATAGGTTTAGGACAGATAAAAGGAAGTATTCCTTCACACAGTATATAGTTAAACTATGGAATTCACTGCCGTGGGAAATGGTAATGGCAACTAATCTGGGTGGCTTTAAAAAGGGATTGGACAGATTAATGATGTAGGAGACTATCAGTGACTGCTAGCCTTGCTGGCCACTACCCCCTTTAGCAGAGGTGACATGCCTGCATAAACCAGTTGATGAGGAGCTTGAGCAGGAAGAGGTCTTGTACCCATCTACTTGAGGGATCCTGCGGGCAGCTGGTCTGCCACCATGCGTTCAGAGTGCTGGACTAGGTGGACTTTTGGTCTGGTCCAGCATGGTGTTTTTTTATGTTTTTACCACCAAAATTACACAAAAAATAGGAAAACATTTTCAGTCTACTTGTTTCACTTGATGTAGTATATTATTTAGGCACTGTACACATAGTATGACATAGAAATCACTTCATATATTGTGAATTTTAGTTGATTAGATCATCATTAATAGCAGAATGTGGCTAAAATAGGAATGCCATGTAGAAATAGCTGTCATGTGTTTCTGGATTTACTTTTATGTAGTTAAGTAATATTTGTTTGGCTTCTTTTAATGACACTAACAATAACACTAAAAATGTAATGTTAGTGAATGTTTCTACCTATTTATTATACAGTGTCTCAGCTTCAGAAAACTAGCTGAACCAAAGCATGCTTTCTTGAAATTCCACTTTCACATTTATGAAAGCAACAAGGTGTCTTAGGAACATATTAACAACCACATTCAATAAACATTAACATATCACATGATTAAAGCTATTATATTTTAAAAATTAAAATTACAGCAAACTCTTGAATGCATAATTAAAAATGTGATTGCTGAAAAACTGGAATCTGGTAGGTTTTGCTTTGGGTTCATTGCTGAACAGTAGTTCTATGATCAATAAAGTTTACTGCATGATCCTAGCACAGGTCAGAATTTTAACCTATTGAAGTCCACTTGTTTATTAAGCACTTTTAAATTAAACATGCAGTTCTAAGTCATCTAGAATGTTAAAAAGATTAAGTACCTTATAGATAACCAGATATTGTTTCAGATAGCTAGTACTATTTGAAAGAGAATTGTTCTGAAGCACTAGCTATGTTTTTAGCTGTTAAGTTCAGAAGTTGATACTCATATGCTGCACTAGTTAAAGTTTCCAAAAAGCTTTCTAAGCATGGCCAATGTACGTAACACTGAATGCTACATCCAAGGTTACAAAATTCACATGTGATGGTCACCGCTTCATACAATTTCTAAGATATTGCATTTCAAGCAGTTCATAAAATACCCTGTGGACTATCATCTGAGTATCAAGCATCAAGATCAAGTTCAGAAAAGTCTGTGTTATTAATAATGATGGAAAGAACAGAAATACTATCAATAATTAATACATTTTCTTTCTTTGTAATTTGAGTACCTAAAGCTCTCATCATTTCTGACACAGTTTCAAACTTGTTAGAGCCCATCCTTTTTCATCACAGTCTCTAAACACTGGAGAGAGGAGAGCAGAGCACTACTGATGACATCTTACTCCTAAATGCCAGACTCCTAAATGCCAGACATCAGTTGTGGCATATTATAAAACAGGCCCAAAGATGACAAAGAAAAAATTTTGTGTTACTTTCACATCAGTTGCATGCAAAATGTATAACTGGTAGCCAATAATTAATTGGGGTCAATAGAAACTGGTGTGACTCTTAACCCAGCTGTTTCCAAAGCCAGCTTCCAATGCCAATTCAAAACCCTGGTTTAATAGTTCCAGCATAACCTTCAGCAAAAAGGTTGGCAGATGAAAGGTAGGGAAAAATTTAATATCAATAAGGCAGTATTAAAACCCTTAAACACTGTTTAAGAATGACTGCCAATCACAGGCAATACTGAGGTATAAGGTTGTTTCCTAGGAAGGGCTCCAAAAAGGAAGAACACTCCCTTATCCATGGTTCAAAGACAGTCTCAAAATGCTTTGTCCCAAGGCCATTGATTTGATGGTTGTAAAGCATCTCCTCCCAAAAAGTTCTTGAATTAGTATTAAATAGGGAATATTATTCCAAGCACATTACAGAATTGACAAAAATGGGAATACTATTTTTAAATGCCTTTATCTCCTAACATTGTGTTTCTTTGAGTTGATACACATTTCATAACACAGTATAAGCTGTTGTGTTTGCTTTAAAAGTATCTACACACAACTGAAGAATTTCAGTAGCAACCAAATGACATGTCCTTAACTAAATTGTCACTAGAGGGCCTCACCTTCCCATGCATTACTAAACAGTAGCTATTTCATGTGTTCTACTGCATCAGTTCTCTATGAGATAAAAATTTCGTATCTCTATGGACAGCAGATACATAAACACAAGCTGTTTCACAGAAAAGCATGTATAGTTTACATGAATATATTCTGCCAAATGTTCTAAAGGCAAATTCATAATAGCTGTATGAAAACAGCCATCCACTATTTTCAGTAGCTTTTTATGGAACTATCTTCTTAAGACAGTAAATATATGCTAATATAAATTGCCCTGTATGATGTCACAGCCTAGTTTATTTAACAACATCTAAGGTACCTGGCTACAAAAGGAAATGCCAAAGCTTTTTCTGACTAAGAGCTAAGGTACAGAAAAGGAAATGTGTCCTTCCCCTCACTCCTTTAACTAAGTTGACCTTTCCATCTTTCACTTTTAAGAGACAACTGCACTTCAGGATTTCCCAGTTATACTTCACAGGCTTTTCATTCCCGTGCAGTGATTAAAAGTGTGAGACTGGAATACAGGCAATCTGTGTTCTAGTCCCTGCTCAGCCATGGAGCCTACAGGGTGACTTTGGGCAAGTCACAGACTTTCAGCCCAACCTACCTCACAGGATTGATGTTGTTGGGATAAGACTGAGGGCAGGAGGAAGAGAATGATGTAACCCACTTTGAATTTGTTGTAATAAAGAAAGAGGGGTATAAATCAAATAAATAAATACCATTTCTTATGCATTAGCTGTCTATTCTCAACAGCATTTTCTTCTCTTTTAGGCTAACTTTCATCAACTTATGCTAAGCTAACACAGATGTTCCTTGGGTAGCTACTTCTGTCTCCTACTTCTCTACTAAGATTAGCCTTACCTGTCCCCCCAAAAGTATACACCTGAAGAACACCCTTGTCACAGCCATTCAGACAAGAACAAAGTTGAATATGAATATACTTCAAAGAGGCAAGAGCAAAAAATCTGACAACCAACTAAAAGGGACTTATGAAGACATGAGCTAACTATTGTATCAAAGAAGATGTCAATGCAACAAACAGGTACTTGAAGGAAGAAGGATGCAGAGCTACAATGTTGCAGGTTAAGTGCCAAATTTGTCCACACATATTATGCTGCAGTACAACACTGACATTTAACCAAGGGTTTTCAGTATACTAACAGTGACTCAATAGGTCCCCACCTGTGACTGACATAAATGGCACAGAAGTGAAAGCCACATAAGTGAGTGAAAACTCTTAGGTCTTCTTAGAAGTACACTCTTCCTTTGATACTGAACACCTTGTTCTCTCACTTCAAAATCCAATCTGAGTCACTTTAGTATTACCAGACAAACTTCTTTTCTCACAATTAATATGTTACTTGCTAAGAACTGTTATCTGGGGCTTTAGTATTCCCACTATTAGCCATGCTTGTAGATAAGTAAGTAATCAAAATGGTATCATTCATACACAACAGAGCTGCAAAAATCCAAAAACACCTTTGGACAAAAAAAAAAAAAAAAGAACAAAAAGATTCCCAAAGCAGCTCAATTATGCATCAGTATGTTTAGTAGCCACAGAATGCTGAGTAAATATGGGGGAAGAATAAGAAGGAGAGGAAAGGATGGAGTAGAATAGAGCATTCTGGAAGACAATATGCGTGGCTGGCATATTGAGGAGCACTTCATATTGCAAAATTTGGTTTCAGTTCACACTTGTAACAAACATAAAGCTAACAGTAATACAAACAGGCTTACAGCTGCATATTTGGTTTTACAGGACAGAACAGAACATTCTAAAGAAATGAAAGGGTAGCAAACAAGACACAGTGTTCAATGCACTCAGTTCATGCTAAATTCAATTAGTCTGAAGTCTTCTGACTTCAGAAACAGGAACAAACCTGACTTTGCCTCAAAAAGGATATCAGATTCAAGAGGTTGCACTGATCCTACTGCAACTGTACAGAGAACCCACTGACATATCCTCTGTGCTGCAGAACAACTAAGAAATTATTCATGAGTACAAGGTAGAGCCTAAATAGATTTTGCATTAATACAAATTACATAACTATGAAACAAAGCCTATAATGAAATATTCCCGAGTCATGCAAACTGCCAAACCTCCATACATAATCTTCTGCTTCCTACCTTCCTTCTTTTCACCACACTTACTAATAGTCAATAGGAATAACTGACACACAGGGGATACCAACAGTTTGCCTTGGAAATGGGAATCCCCAGTGCTGGAGCAAACAGGATGGGCTTCTTGTGCAGGTGCGACTATGCACCACTGCAATAGCCCTCAAGGAAGACATCAAGGCTTGAATTGAGCAGCTTGGCAGTCAGCAGCAATGAAGAAGAGGAGCAGCAGATCCATATGCTCAACTGCCAGCTGAACCCAC